GTCTTGGAGAAGTCTATGTCATGTGAGCCCACTGAATTGTAACAGTGATCTGCCACGGCAGAGGAGTTCGTCTTACCGTGTTTCAAGTCTGCTTTATGTTCGCGGATGCGGTCCGAGATATGTCTTTTGGTTTCTCCAATGTAGCTACTACCACAGAGGCACTTTAGTTTGTAAACGCCCGGGTACTGTATGTCTGGAAGAGCATCTTTTACAGATGGAACTAAATCACGGATTTTGTGTACTATGTTGAATCGGACCTGGATCTTGTGTTTATTCAGGATTTTGGAGATCTTTTTAGTGACCCCTGCAATGTAGGGTAAGGTGATGGTTTTGAGTGGCTCCACAAGAGGATCCTTCTTCATGACTGGAGTGATGGCTTTGCGGATTGTGTAGTCGGAGTAGCCATTAGCCCTGAGAGCCTGGTGTACGTGCTTGAGTTCACTGGTAATGTGTTCCTGGTCGGAAATGCATTGGGCTCTATGGTATAGAGTCTTGATGAGGCAGTTCTTCTGGGATGGATGGTGGTGGGAATCCGGTTTCAAGTAAGCATCTGTATGGGTAGCTTTCCTGTAGACAGAGTGGCTCATTGAACCATCATGTCTCCTTTTAATTAAGACATCCAGAAAGGGTAGTTTGCCATCTTTTTCGACCTCCATGGTAAATCTGATGGCTGGGTGTATGGAATTAATGTGGTCGCGGAATTGGTCTAGAGCAGGCTGGCCATGTGGCCAGATGACAAAGGTGTCATCAACGTACCTCTTCCATAAGGTCGGGCGTAGAGTGGCAGTCTGGATGGCGTCAGTTTCAAATTTTTCCATGAATACGTTGGCTACAACCGGAGATAGGGGGGAGCCCATTGGGGTGCCCTCAGTTTGTTTGTAGAAAGTTCCATTCCAGGTGAAGTATGTGTTGGTTAAGCAATGTCTCACCAGGGGGGGTACATCAGTATGCAGTCCTTGATGAACAAGGCTCAACTAATCGAGTCTCTCACCTTTCTGAAGAGATGCCGCGACTCTAAGGTAATACCAACCGCATTTACACTAACCTCTGCTGTTGCAACTTCTCTCAATGCAAAACGAATTCTAGCTAGAACTAGCTTCGCTCTTATCTCGGAAAAAATCAGACTTACATGCACCGAACTCGATCAGTTAGACAAGACACTCTACAAATCACACTTAAAATTGACAGCAACAATGTCTACATCGGATTGGGAACATGTAGACAATATGACTACCTCTTCGGCTGCCACTATGTCGAACAAATGTAGGGACAATTTGATTTCCAAATTCAATCACCTCTCCAGCAAAAAATCGGATCCACACACCGAAAAGATAGACGTCAACAAAGTCGTAATTAATCGCAGTAACAGTTCCATTTCTGATGGTCTGAAATCCGTTTTAGCTAAAGGTCTAAACTTTGCTGTCACACCGAGACACTTACCGGTTAATGATATCATTGCCCATGTCGACGTTGCACTCAAGGGCTTGAGTCACATCTCTGCAGACGTAGCAAGATCTGAAATCGCTGCAACCCTCAAAAACGCTAAGTTGCCACCTAGCAACATCAGCAAAGACGAACGTTTTGAATTATCTCAATTAAAAAAGAGGGATGATATTGTCGTTCTCTCAGCCGACAAAGGCAATGCCACTGTCATCATGGACAAAACAGAATATAACAACAACATTCAAGAAGTACTCAACGATGGCAGCTATACAAAAATAAAAAGAGATCCCACCAACAGCCTGGTCACCAAAACGAACAAAATTATCTCTGATTCAACAGCATTAATTGATGAGATCAAACAGTTCTCGTTGAAACCCTCTGCTGCCAAACCACCAAGATTATATGGCCTTCCAAAGATACACAAAGAAGATACACCCCTTCGTCCCATCGTCTCTACTATCAGCTCCCCCACCTACAAACTGGCACGTTTTCTGGCTGATATACTGCGACCTTTCACTGGAAAAACCACCTCTGCGGTACTAAATTCTACTCACCTGGTATCGCCAATCAAAGACATTTCCCTGTCCCCAAACGACCTGCTTGTCAGTTTTGATGTGGTGTCCTTGTTCACCAAAGTCCCGGTACCTGACACCATCGCTATCATTGAAGACCTTGTTCATCAAGGACTGCATACTGATGTACCCCCCCTGGTGAGACATTGCTTAACCAACACATACTTCACCTGGAATGGAACTTTCTACAAACAAACTGAGGGCACCCCAATGGGCTCCCCCCTATCTCCGGTTGTAGCCAACGTATTCATGGAAAAATTTGAAACTGACGCCATCCAGACTGCTACTCTACGCCCGACCTTATGGAAGAGGTACGTTGATGACACCTTTGTCATCTGGCCACATGGCCAGCCTGCTCTAGACCAATTCCGCGACCACATCAATTCCATACACCCAGCCATCAGATTTACCATGGAGGTCGAAAAAGATGGCAAACTACCCTTTCTGGATGTCTTAATTAAAGGGAGACATGATGGTTCAATGAGCCACTCTGTCTACAGGAAAGCTACCCATACAGATGCTTACTTGAAACCGGATTCCCACCACCATCCATCCCAGAAGAACTGCCTCATCAAGACTCTATACCATAGAGCCCAATGCATTTCCGACCAGGAACACATTACCAGTGAACTCAAGCACGTACACCAGGCTCTCAGGGCTAATGGCTACTCCGACTACACAATCCGCAAAGCCATCACTCCAGTCATGAAGAAGGATCCTCTTGTGGAGCCACTCAAAACCATCACCTTACCCTACATTGCAGGGGTCACTAAAAAGATCTCCAAAATCCTGAATAAACACAAGATCCAGGTCCGATTCAACACAGTACACAAAATCCGTGATTTAGTTCCATTTGTAAAAGATGCTCTTCCAGACATACAGTACCCGGGCGTTTACAAACTAAAGTGCCTCTGTGGTAGTAGCTACATTGGAGAAACCAAAAGACATATCTCGGACCGCATCCGCGAACATAAAGCAGACTTGAAACACGGTAAGACGAACTCCTCTGCCGTGGCAGATCACTGTTACAATTCAGTGGGCTCACATGACATAGACTTCTCCAAGACGGAGGTTCTTTGCAAACCAACCGGCTACCATGAGAGATTCGTTCATGAGGCCATTCACATATACAAGCACAGAGACAATTTCAACCGAGAAGATGGATTCAGGCTTATTAACCACTGGAAAGATGTGTTAAATCATTTCTGTTCTTAATTAATTGTAATTTTACGATGACCTTCAGACCGCAGCTCTTTCGCCAGCATTGCCTCTTAATACCTCTCACACCACGGTTAATGGTATGGTTTACAACATGAAGTATACTAGGGCTTCGCAGCTGTCTCTCTCCCCCTCCTCTGTTCCGACCATGGACGAACTCGTCCGTCTGAACGGGGCCCGTAGCTATCCGTGGTACGGAAATTTGAGGGTAAGAATCCACCCATTTTTTCGCCATATAGCATTGTGATATATAACGACTTATGGTTGGTAGCTTAGCTGATTGATAACATGAAGGTAATTTATATTTTAGTTTTTATTGGTTCACTATATAATACTGTGAATAGCTCAGATGTGTAGTCATTTCTGTGACCAGTCACTAGCAAATCACCCAGTTATTTCAATGCTAAATTCGCCTAGTTATTTCAATGCTAAATTCTCCTGTTTGATTTGTACTAAGTGCCTCGGTGAATGTGTATGCTCTGACTTCAACGTAACTATTTCTGTAGCAGTTACAAGCGAATCACTCAGCCATTTCAATGCTAAATTCTATGCTAATCCCATTGTCAAGAGGTGCCTCTGCGGATGTGTATGCCTTAACTTAGCTATTTCAATGCTAAATTCTATGCTAATTCCTTTTAACAATGGGTGCCTCTGCGGATGTGTATGCTTTAACTTTTAACATAGCTATTTCTGTGACCAGTCACAAGCTAATCATTCAGCCATTTAAATGCTAAATTTTATGCTAATTCCTTTGTCAAGGCTCTTTGTTCCTCTCACACAGCTTAAAAGCCGTGATCTGAACGTGGCTCTCTCACTCCAGCACTGTCCTACCAGACAGTCTCGCCCCCTTCACCTGATGAAGGCCGCTTGTGTTGTGGCCGAAACGTCGTGAGAATATTATTGTGTTATTTTATTTTATCAATTTATTATTTTATTCTCATTCTACGTGACTTTACCGAAAGAACCAAAGAAGATGAATTAGTTATTACTTCAGCACAACGGTGTGTTTGAGAGTAAACCCACAACATCTACATTTAGAGTACGACGTTTCGCTGGTGATTACATCAGCTTCATCAGGTGATCGCCAGAATTTTTAAGAAGTTCTGTTTCGGTCTTAAATAGAAGAGTAAAGGTCATGTCATCACTGTGAGCCTATCCGGTGCGAAAATAATCGTTGTATTGTACTTCTATGTTCCCACATTTATGCTCACCGTCTTCATCAACCGGCACTAACCAGCAAAGAGCCACATCGATTGTTACATCACAACCGTGTCAAAAGATAAGGTTTTTTTCCCAGCAGTAGATTCATAATGGCTGATGATGACCTTTTGTGATAATGGGGTTAGAGCTAGAAAATGCCATCGTGTTTTAATTTAACATGGGCTACGCATGTCGTATCCCAGTGAATCAGTTGCAGAAATTTAAACAGTAATTTTCCGTTTAACTATGGAACAGCGGACAAGTGTAGTTACACATTAGCATATTATCGGAGTCCTCATATAAACTGCATGTAGACTGCTGGACGAGGAAATATTTCCCTGCTCTTCTCGACAAAGGAGGTGACATCAAAGATTTCCAACACTCGAGATCACACGCACTATTCAGGCTAACAAAAGTAAGTTGTGCTTATTCTTAGCTTTTTCGGTAAAGTCACGTTGAAGGGAAACAATAAAATAATAATATATTTTAATATTTTATTATTTTATTGCTATATTTTATTGTTTCCCTTCAACGTGACTTTACCGAAAGAGCTAAGAATATGAATTACTGCAGTCACGAAAGCTTTAAATCAAAATTTAAGTTGTGCTTGTTTTTATTTTAAATTGTGTACATGTAATAATGCACGGAATTAATATGCAATACTACTGCTTTCTATGAAAGTTTTAATGCATCGTTTATTTTATTTGTTTTGTTGGGAATAATAACAAAGGTATGAAACTATAACGTGCAGTAGCAGACCCAGCCAAACATTTTGGAGGGGATACATAATTGCGGGAAATACAATTGGGTGTAAATTAAGCTTTCATCCTGTAGCATATGAAGCTATAATTAATTATAAATACATTACGTACAAGTTTATATTAATGAGGGATCTCTAAAGTGGCCTATGATATACGACCGCCAAACATCTGGAAATGTGCTCTGATATTTATGCCACTGTGTTAATTGATGGCATGGTGGGATGGTTGGCACACTGCACAGTACGTACCGTACTTGCTATCCCAGAGGTCGTTTGTGGGCTTCGATCTCCTGGCTTGACAATTGAAACAACAGTTGTAAGTGTAATACATGTATTAATTAAAACTACTGGACATCTGTGAGTCGACTGGACATCTGTGAAAAAGAGCTTTATAGCTCATCAGATTCCTCCAGTATAAATAAAAATTCGAATTCTGAAATCCACTCCCCCGCGTCTGTCCACCCAGCAGTAAAAATGGGAACATTGCAGTTCATTGGCAGGTCATGTGTGGTGGGGTAAAGTGTAGGTACGGAATCCCCAACAGCAAGGAAGAGCTGGTTAAACAACTCATAGAGGGGCTCTCGAGCTCCCTTGAGTGGAGGCCCTTACACTAGCAGTATCGTCACTGATCCGGCTTCATTAATTGAACAAACCAAACGGTTTTCCTTAAAACCCTCTGCTGCTAGACCTCCCAGATTGTATGGCTTACCAAAAATCCATAAAGAAGGGACACCCCTTCGTCCCATCGTCTCCACCATTGACTCACCCACCGACAAACTGGCCCGGTTTCTGTCTGAGACCTTACAACCATTCACTGTTAACACCACCTCATCTGTACTTAGCTCACTTGGTATCCTTAATTAAGGACATCTCACTATCTCCAGGTGATTTGCTCGTTAGTTTCGACGTAGTTTCTTTGTTCACCAAAGTTCCTGTGTCCGACACCATTGCAATCATTGAAGATTTAGTCCAACAAGGATTGAATGCTGATGTACTGGCCCTGCTTAGACACTGCCTCACCAGTACATACTTCATCTGGAATGGAACATTTTACAAACAAGTTGAAGGCACCCCAATGGGCTCTCCCTTATCTCCGGTTGGAGCCAATGTTTTCATGGAAAATTTTGAGACAGTCGCCATCCAGGCATCCACTCTACGCCCGTCCTTGTGGAAGAGGTACGTACATGACACGTGCGTCATCTGGCCCCATGGCCGACCAGCTCTGAACCAATTCCTCAACCACACTAATTCCATACACCCAGCCATCAAATTCACCGTGGAGTTGGAAAAGGATGGCAAGCTGCCATCTTTGGATGTTCTAATCGAAAAGAGACCAGATGGCTCAATGGGACACTGTCTACAGGATAGCAACTCATATGGATGCCTACCTAAAACCTGACTCGATACATCTCCGACCATCATCACCTAGCCAGTGAACTGAAACCCGTGCACCAAGTTCTCAAGATGAATGGATATTTGGACCACACAATCCGTACAGCCACCACCCCAACCGTTGGGAAAGAACCATCTGAGGACCCAATCAAAACCATCACCTTGCCATACATAGCTAGGGGTCACCAAAAAGATTTCCAAAATCTTGAGCAAACACAAGATCCAGGCTCGATTTAACACAGTACATAAAATTCGTGATCTGATCCCATCTGTGAAGGATAGGATCCCTGATATGCAAACTCTGGCGTCTACAAACTAAGCTGTGTCTGCGGCAGTAGTTACATTGGGGAAACTAAGCGACATGTCTCGGACCGTGTTCGTGGGCATAAAAAACAACCGGCTGACATGCAGCGCTGTGCCGTGCTCTCTGCAAAATGGCGCTCGCCAGCCATGCCGTGCCCTCTCCGGGCAAAAATGGCGCCCAGCACTGGCGTGGTACCCGGCCCGGGCTCCACCGCTCCCGCACCAACGGGAGTTGTAGGCGGGATCAGCCAATCCGACAAACATATCCAGCTGGTTCGTAAGCGAGGGTGTTCATGAGTAGAAGACTGCCTGTATCCATATTTCGTAACCAGCCAATTGCTCCTGTTTAGTTTGTTACTACGTGAATGTGTTTGTATCCATCCTCTGACCATGGTCTCGCAGACAAGAAAATGATCATTCTGCGCAGCAGAGAGCACTTGAGGGAGCTGATGGTGGCCTTGTCTCGCCGTCTTCCCCACTCTGCCAAGGCGAGTGAACTCAGCAGCACCTGCTTGGTTGTTAACTGGAGCTTTGTTTCATTGCCCGTGACCAAACCACCCCGAATGAAACCAATCTCATCACAACTTAGAAGCTAAGCAAGAGTTGAGCCCGGACAGTGCTTGGATGGGCAACCACCACGCATAACACAGGTGGTGCAGGGTGGTGCAAGAGCTCCGTTATGGGCAGCAGAAGGCAATGCGATAAAAATGCAGTTGTACTGTACTATGCTGTGCGCCCCACTTAGCAGAGGTATGGTGGCCTCAATGTGTGGATTACTAGCGCTCTTCCTCTCACGGTAGTGCGGTAATATGTCCCTGATTGGCGTGGCAAGTAACGTGCAGCGGAACTGCACCGTCTTCATCGCACGTTATCTTCATTCTTATTATCATCCAAGTTTGCCATCATCATATACCTCTCTCATTGTCATACTCCGAAAGCTGAAATAGTCCTGACTCACTCCAGGCTTTCCTGAGTAGGCAAGCATAGGAAATAAATCATCACCACAATCTCCACCTTTTATGACCATCTTATTAATCTTCATAATCCATCATCACATATACCTGATCTTCATCCTTCTCTAATCAAAGTCTTCATCATCTATCTATATTGAACATATTCAAAACCATCTTAAACCTTCATCACCATAACGTTTCATTATCTGTTAAGTCTTCTCTCAGTATGCAGTGTTGTCATCTATCGTGTTCAACCATTGTCATCAACTCCTCCATCCTCACCATCATCTGAATCTCTAAATAGGTCAATTAATTAACTATCATGTTTCTGTAGACGTATGGGAGGTTGTACTTTGGACTGAAAGGCATGTCCGGACCCTCGGACATTTACGTGGACTCCTGGCCAAACTTTCAAGCCGTAGTTGTACAGCCAAGGGAGCAGGTGAGTTATATTTGGGGCATGGGTGGGTTGACCAGTAGCGGGTAATGCTCGACTTATGAACATAATTCGTTCCTGATTTAAATGCCAATTCGGTCAGTATTATGAAATATATTATGGTTCAAAGAAAAGCATTGTTAAGATAAGATAAACTCATGAAGCAGAATAAATATTGTACCTTTACATGTGTAGTGAGTCCAACTGAGTCGCAGATGTTATCTTGGGAGCAACACTATTTATTATACAACAGCACGCAACATAACACGATCTACACTCGGGCCTCAAATGCCCATCTAACCACACTATGGCAGAATACACAGTTCGCTATCCCGGTCCGGACCACAAGCTAGGTCCTGGACCGCGTTTGTTAGAGCCTTCTTCTCCCCGACGTGGATCTTCGTAACACCAGCACACGAAGAACCTCGAGCTCCTCACAGGGCCCTCGTTATATTCCCCCTGGCCGGGTGCTGGGGCGCCCACCTTCCAGGTCTCTCGAGCTCTTTCTCGAAGGTTCCTGAGAGCTCTTTTGGACCACGTGACCGCCCCGCGGCCCCCGTCCACCGGTGGCCCCCCTGCAATATCATCGGGTCACGTGTGGGCAGGTCAACCAGCGTATCATGCCCCAACGTAACCCTGGCTGGCTGACGCTCCCTCTCGCTCCCTTACCGGGAGCCCACACCGCACACTGCTCGCGGTGCCACCCAAGCCCCGCTAGGACTGGTGGTACTACACCCTGTAACCCGGGCTGCCCATAATGACAACACATTATCCATCGTGGCTTCATAAGCTCCGGCACCATACAGTGACAACCACAGTCGCAACACATGTAACACTTTAATAACACTACACGGTAAATAAAACAAAATGACGTACCATAAATAGAAAAAAGTCAGTTTTATTTTCACTTGAGTCCTGATACTGGCTTGCATGTAGAAAGGGGCACAATGAGTCACCACAACTGCCTACACAAACACAAAGATCCCCCCGATAGCCTGAACAGACTGTTGGGGCAAGTGCTGTTTAGCAAGCACCTCTGAAGGCCGGCACGGCACACGTGGGTGGCCAGCACCACGCTCAGCGCCTTTGTCAAGCTCAGTGGCGATGTTTACACACTATGTACGAATTTTGAAGTTGAGGCCAGAATGTCCATAGGAATGCATATTATTCGTGCCAATAACATTGAAGCAACTTTCTTTGAGCTCATAAAAAATGTAAACGCTAAAGTTGTATTGATTAGTTTTATTTAAGTTCGACTCGTATGTAGAACCTAATGTTTCATGTTGCAATCTTCCTTTCAAGGCCGGTGAAAAGCCGTTCATGCCCAGCTATTCCACATTTTCACTCAACCCAAGCAGCCTTGCCGGCCTCCTGTTTAATGTTGTGGAATGGAAGAAGCCCTTCATGCTGGCAGGTGAACTGTCTGTACATCCAAAATAGATTGTACTAGGGGATTGGAATGAATTAGTAAATATAAAATGGACTTCTCTTACCCAGTATGCAAAAATGTTTGTATTCTTTAAATACAAATACATTTTAGATTACTGAAGGGATTATCTGTTGCTCAATATCTATTCTTAGATAACTTTTCATATGTCAATCAGGAAACATTATTTATATATTATTAACAGGCCCCATGGTGTATAGTGCATTCTTCAACTCTATTCCACTCCAGTATATCTGGTCTGTTTGTGTTATAAAGAAGGGCCATTACTAGAAGCATATCTCGTTATATAATGTTCCTTGTAATGTTATTGCCACAAATGTTGAGTTTTTAGTTTTGAAAAAAAAACACACTAGAACAACAGTCACATACAATTTGGCTTTCTTTGCATTTATAATTATAACATTAAAAATACTGTAGCATGATTCTGCCATTTCTTGCCATTACTTGTATTTCAAGCAATAAGTGGCACATGTATGAATCTTTGTCTGAGGAAATCCTAGACCGCTACACAGAACTGTTACATTTGGTTGAACGTTTTGTGTGTAAACAGGTATAGATGTTGATTTGAAAGAACGTGTGGATGATTTGGCGGCCAGAAAAAATGTCCGTCTCTCTTGGCCCTCGCCCTACTACATGTTCACAACGAATGACCCTGCCACACTCAGGTACAAGTCATGCCGTGTTATATTTGCCATGTGTTTTTTTTTTATTCAACCATGCGATTTTATCAAGAGACAAATTCAAAAGTGAATGCCACTCTTGTCCTCGGCCTAGGCCTCGGGTGTGGCCTTAGTCCCAAGGCCTTGGCATAGAGCCCCCAGGCTTCACAATGGCCTAATACTAGAGCAGTGGTTCCCAATATTTCTGGATCCGCAGACCATTGTCAACCCAAAAAATGGTTTTGTATTGCACAATAAGCCAATTCATTTTTTATTAAAATTACTCTCAATCATAGTGTTTGCAATAGTGATGTCGACTATTTCCCCATGACCTTGCAGACTACCAGGGGGCCAGCGGTCACTTGGCTATGTATGGTGTGAAAAAAAGTTCAATATATAGACACTGGTCTTGAGGATACAACCTTGACTGGCACTGGCCTCAACCTAATACTCTTGATCTTTCATCCTCCAGCTTGGCATTGTAGATCCCGACATTGAATAGGGTGTCCACCTTCCCTGGTTTTCCCAGAATCGTCCTCGTTTTGAAGTGGCTTTCTTGAGAAATCTGTAAGTAGGACATTAAAAGTCCAGGTTGTGTAATAATGCATCACTTGAAACACCACAATGTAATGTAGTTCCCTCCTCTTGTGACGGTAAGATATTCATCCCAATCATAAACTTCAGCTTTGGCAACCAAAGCCATGAATTCAAAAATTGTCCAATTTTTAACTTATTTTTTATGCGTGTGTTTTATTTGTGCTTCCATTGTTTTGCAGAATTCCAAATTCTAAATCAGGCCTGAAAACGGCGATGTTAAACACAAGCCACGCTGAGTTGGTGTGTGACTCATGGAAATACAAAGGCCACCCTGACAGCCTGCGCTTAATCCAGACTTGTATAAAAAATGGATTTCCCAATAGCTGTGTCCTGGACGCTTCTGGAAGTCCAGTCGCCTGGATTCTCGGCCACTCATATGGAGCGCTTGGCTTTGCATTTGTGAGGCCTGACTACCGCAAGAAGGGTCTGTTGTTACAGTGTATGGCAGCAATTCTACCCACATTAAATGAGGATTTCCCTCTGTTTGCTTATATTAATGAGGAAAACACCCGTTCATTACAGTGGGCCACAAAAATTGGGCTTTCAAAGCCGATTGACCATGGGTTTGCATGGGTGACTGCAGAGCCCTGGTCTGTGCTGTCTTAATATTTAGTGAGGAGTGATGAATCCTCACTTGATATTTTCTAGAATACTATTATGGTGGCTTGTAGTAGGCACTGACTACTGGTCGAGTACAATGTATACCTATCTATAACGATCCCAGTACTGTCCTTAATGACAAACGGTAACCCCCAGCACTATTCCACAGGCAGTTTTTGCAAACCCACTGCACGCACCTCCACAATCGCACAAGGACAAACTACATCATATCACCTCTGCACAGGTTATTTTTTCATAGATCGGCTGCTTCATGGTCTCTTTTTTAATACAAAAAATTTCAGAAAGTACCGGGTGCGGATCGCAACTGCAGGGGTTGTGAAGGCTGTGCACTTTCCGCAACTCGCGCTCCCCTCTCTCCACGTGGATTCCGCACAGCCACGCTGTAACACGCTGTAATGAATCCGCGACAGAATGCTTGAGAAACTACCGAATGCGAATGCTCAGGGAAGGCAATCGTCACCAATGGGCGGACTAACAGCCATAAAATGTTTTACACTAATGGCAGCCCAAACTGACAGCCCAGTCTACCATGTGAGCCTCTCCTGCCTATGTTGTTGTGGATGTTAAGTTTGCTTTTTCCCAAAAAAATCATACTTTTAAATGTTAGCCTGTCCTAGGACGGAAGCTGTAATATTAAATATGTAAATTGACGTTTTATTGTGTGATTGTTAATTTTATTAGGAAACGTAGCACATAAAGACATTTTTCTTAACTTAAAATGAAATTAATGACTTTGGAAGAGTTCTCGATATACGATGTTTTGTGCGAATCCCTTATCACTGATCAAAAGGTTTCCCTGCAATTTATTGGAGTACGTTGCCATTGGAGTCGATCGGCTTTTCCACTTTCACTTTGCCTTTCCGACAGCAACTTGTGAACTTTCCATCTGATGGTCGCTCCTCAGCAAAATTTAGTGAACCACAACATACTGCAGTTGTGTTCAATCACTTGCATTTTCACAAAGTCATTTGCCATAGCACGAATAGCTTGACTACGACGTTCTTGTCCTGCGAGACGATTTTCAGTATTGGCAGCGAGGCGAGCTTGTGTCGTATGTGGAGTTTCTCGCTTGCGTCGATTTGCTTGATAAAGAGCGTCAGCTGCACGTCGAGATTGCGTCTGAACCGGACTTTCTTGTTCTCGTCGATTTGCTTGCCTTTCGGCATTCTCTGTAAGAATTCTGTCCAAAGTGTCTTGGCTCTGGCGAGCTCTCCATCTCTGCTGTCTTGCTCTTTGCAAACGGCGTTTCTTAGCTGCAGTATTGTCATCCTCCGTGATGTTTGGCAATCCTGTGCTGACGTATTTAGATCTCACGACGCATAACGTGCTCCAGCAGCTGGAACACTGCGAAAAAGGTTGCCTCGCGCTTTTTAGACACTGTGGCAGTGTGATCTGCAGAGGGGCCAAATCTAGCTAGCATAGAGGCAAAATAAGCATTAAAATTGGTAAAAAAAAAATTACCACAATAGGCCAAAGGCAAACAATCTCTTGGCTGTATAATTTGAAAAAAACCCTAACTTCACTTTAGCACTGTTTTCAAATCACCTGAAGCTGTTAACTGACAAATGTGTCTTCACCGATGGACGCTTGATAGCGAAGAGTGAAAAAGGTGAGTGCTGATAGTGTCTGAAGTTACTTAGCAAATAACGAAGAGCAAAGAGAAGCATTGGAGTTACGAATAAAATTGATCGGAGACTAATTTTATCTTGTCTAAATGTAATGGCAGGGATTATTTTAAAAAAGAATGTCATCAAACACTTCACTGCATTTCACTGTAGCGCTGTATTAATGGCAGTGAATGTTGCACAAAGGAAGTCATAAAACACCTCACAGCATTTGACCGCAGCACTGCATTTAACGGACGTTCAATTACTTGCAATTCACTGCTCTGATACGTACTTATCTTCCGCTTTCACTCACTGGGGTTGAAAACAATTGGAATTCGATACAATGTCTGCAAAGTAGCATAGACATCTTCTTTGGTTCTTTCGGTAAAGTCACGTAGAATGTTTGGTAGGACAGCGCTGGAGTGAAAGAGCCACGTTCAGATCACGGCCTTAAGCCTTAAGGCGTGATCTGAACGTGGCTCTTTCACTCCAGCGCTGTCCTACCAGACAGTCTCGTCCCTTCACCTGATGAAGGCCGCTTGTGTTGTGGCCGAAACGTCGTGAGAATATTATTGTGTTATTTTATTTTATCAATTTATTATTTTATTCTCATTCTACGTTACTTTACCGAAAGAACCAAAGAAGATGAATCATTGCAGTCACGAAAGCTTTAAATCGAAATTTAGCATAGACATTTTTATTGTAGCATAATTTGGAAGCGTAAAGTAGACTTGCCTTGTGTTGGACGTGCCTAAGAAGTAAATAAAGGCACCAAATGCACTTTCTGTAAAGATATGTAAAATCGAAAGCGAATTTGCATAAAATTTTCATTTTTTTAATCATAGCCGCTCGATCTTCTGCGCGAGACACAAAACCCAGGCACACGTGAATAATAATGAGGGGGGGGGGGGCATGTGGAGTGACGTCACACACGCAGCCATTGTTGGCTCGTTATATTAGTTGTTGTGTTTTCTTTATTAGCTTTAGTTTCCATAAAGAAAAGTCTAAATGAAAGCTAATTTGTGTAAACAAATTTTCGTTTCCCCTCCACCTTCTTCATGCGGAGTGACATCACCCGTTCATGATTATTAATGACTGGGGGGGGGGGGTCCATGTGGAGGATCCCACCTGTTCATGATTATTAATGAGGGGGGCTGGTCGACGTGGAGTGACGTCACGTGCGTTACACACAGACATTCTTGGCTCATATTAGGGATTTCATAGTTCCTTGTATATCTATGTGTGTATTCAAGTGGAAAAAACAGACCGAGCAAAAGTCAATTATCACCAGTGAGAAGTTTGAAAAACAGAACAGCTTGCCTGGCATGATAAAAATCACCAATGCGTGTAAAGTTGTCTGCTTAGGCCAGGGGTGTCCAAACTACGGACCGCGGGCCAACTGCGGCCCGCGGTCCAGTTTTTATTGGCCCGCAGCAAATTCTGAAAATATAATAGAATATGGCCCGCACAAGAAGCTTGAGCTCAACTCTGTTGCACTTCTCTGTTTCAACACTAGATGGAGCCAGCCACGGAAAACCGTGCTTCTCCACTAAACAAAATTAAGCAAAGCAAAAACTTTTACCGCGAGTCACCAGAAATGGCAGCACCGAAGAAACGCAAAATAGCGAGTGAGTGTGGAAGATTTCAAACACGGTGGGAAAATGAATATTTTTTCAAAGAAATCAACGGAAAGTGTGTCTGTTTGATTTGCAATGAAGATGTTGCTGTGATGAAAGAGTATAATATCAGTCGGCACTATGAGACCAAACATCAGAGCTACACATCGTACACCGGTGCCGAACGAACACAGAAAGTCGAGCAAATGGCGGCTAGCCTGCAAGCTCAACAACAAACATTTTTTCGTAGTAACAAAATACAGGAAAACGCCACAACAGCAAGCTATGAAGTCACTAAACTTATTGCCCAGCACGGCAAACCGTTCTCAGACGGTGATTTCATGAAGCAGTGCCTCATCAAAGTCACAGAAATAATGTGCCCGGTAAAAGTGCAGGATTTCAACAGCGTGAGCTTATCCAGAAATACAGTGGCGCGGAGAATCGAGGACTTGTCAGCTAACTTGAAACTTCAGCTGAGAGACAAAGCTTGTGCTTTTGATTTTTACTCGATAGCATGCGACGAGAGCACAGATGCCACAGACACCGCGCAGCTGTTAATTTTTTTGCAGGGAGTAGATGATATTTTTTGCTGTACGGAGGAACTGCTTGATATGATGAGCCTAAAAGGCACAACGACGGGTAGAGATATTTTTGAAGCTGTGTCAGAGGCAGTTGAATAGATGGGGCTTAAATGGGACAAGCTCTGTGGAGTAACAACGGATGGAGCTCCGGCCATGACGGGCGAGCGCAAAGGAATGGCATCGGGGGTATGCGCCAAGGTAAAAGAGAGCGGAGGTGAGGCTGTTAGGATGCACTGTATAATCCACCAAGAAGCACTGTGTGCCAAGACTGTGCAGCTGGGCGATGTGATGAACACTGTTGTAAAAACTGTCAACATAATTCGAGCTAGAGGACTGTACCACAGAGAATTTCAAGCTTTCCTATCTGATGTGGATGCTGAATACGGGGATGTACTCTACCACTCTGATGTGCGCTGGCTCAGCCGCGGCTCTATGCTGCAGCGGTTTTATTCGCTGAGATCAGAAATCGACCAGTTTTTGAAAGAGAAGGGCCGACCTCTTCATGAACTGAGTGACCCTCTGTGGCTGGCAGACCTGGCATTTTTAGTTGATCTTACTCATCATCTGAATACACTGAACAAGAACCTACAAGGCAAAGAACAGCTGGTGCCACACCTGTATGCACACATGAAAGGCTTCTGTGTAAAGCTCCGCCTGTTTGAGACACAACTACGAAGCTTTAATGCTGCACACTTCCCTGCGCTGTCTGAAATCAAGTCTGCTTTTCCAAAGGCCGACCTTTCTGCTAAAAAGGAGAAATATGTGTCTGTGATTGTATCTCTCGTGACAGAATTCAACCAGTGTTTCCAAGATTTTTCTGTCATTGAAAAACAAATCAAGCTGTTCTCGACCCCCTTCCTGGTGGATGCAGAAGAAGTGGAAGAGAGTCTGCAGTTAGAACTGAATGAAATGCAATGTGATGATTCTCTGAAGAGTCAACATCAGCTTCTCTCCCTCCCTGACTTCTATCAGAGTTTGGATAATGCCAAGTTTCCTCTGATGAGACGCCACGCAAAAAGAATGATGAGCCTGTTCGGCTCAACATACATATGTGAACAAACATTTTCTCTGTTAAATCAGAACAAAAGCAGACTGAGAACCAGAATGACTGATAGCCATCTCTGTGAAGTCCTTCGTGTCTCAACCACCAAACTTTCTCCTGACATGTCAAACCATCCTTCAATCAAAAGGACAGCATCACTGCTCCCACTGAGTGCAATGTTCTTCACATTATAGGTGAGTTAGAAATACACACAGTATTCATGTGTCAATATGTCACCTCTAGTGTGTGGCCTGGCCTTTTGTTTATTTTTCTGTATTTGGCCCTCACTAAAAAAACTTTGGACACCCCTGGCTTAGGCTGTTGGATATTTACCCTTCCAGGAACTAATCCAACTCATGTGGTCAATCCAATGGCAGGCCATGAAGGAAGTTAACACCTTGGGTAAGGAGGGACCCAGCATCCGTTCCTGAGAAATATATTCAGTAAACCCTCTCCATCCACGAGAGATAGTTCTTGAAAACGCTCGCGAATCCAGAATTCCAAAATGCAGAAATTTTGTTCCAATGGGGAAAATTGGGTTACGATCCTGGTACGAGTGAACATTACGGGTGGCTCTTGGAGGTGGCTGAGAAGTCCAATTGTGGATCCGCAGATCTTTCGGCATTTGGGGCACGCGGTCCCAGATGAGAGTAGCATCTGCAGTGCCGGGTCAGCTTCCTTTTCCTTTATTTTTGTCACGGCGATCCACTTTGGTAGAGACGTTGGGTCGGCGCTGCTGCTGGATGCAGCTCCCAGGGTCACTCCGCCCTTGGCCACGCCTACTCTTTCGAACCTTCTGGAGGGACTCGGACTATTGCGTAATCCCCCAGCCCCCACTGGGGGCCTGGGGTGTGTTCCTCCGGTTCCCAACCGCCCTCTGGGTTCCCTGGCCTAACGGTGTTACTTCGTACAGGCCGGACTCGCTGTTGCACCCCCTGTTGACCCGTGGCTGACGATACACCAGGTAACCCCGTGTAACGAACACAATACCCACTACAAATAAATTAATGATAAGCGCACAAGATGAGATGTTATCACTATGTACCTTCTGTAAACGGTCTGAGATGTATCTCTTAACCATTTTATTTTACCATCTAAATGTTTTCATTGATCAAGTCTTGTAAGTAGATTATCATGGTTAACGGTATTAAAGGCGTTTGACAATTCGATGAATAGCGCAAAGCAGTTGTGGCCTTTATCCAGGTTACGGAAAATAAATGCACTACATCCATCATTGCTGTGGTGGTGCAGCTATCTTCAAACAAAAACCAGACTTTACTGTGAAGGCGATTGTGACTTTTCAGCTAGCACCATGCTACTATAATTATTAGGGTCTTTTTTGGAGCAATTTTTATAAAGTGGACGAATAAGAGAGGATTTACACTCGACCATAAATGTATCTTTGATAAGTAAGAGGTTCAAATGTGTGTGAGGGGTTTATAAAAGAGACCTGCCACAGCCACAAGTGCAAATACAGGCAACTCGTCTTCACCCGTGGATGATGATGCCTTAATTGATGCCAGCTTATGCAATACATCCAGTTCAGGTATGGGACGAAACAAGAATTATGAATGATGACTCTCACGAACATTTTTAGGGTTGATGTGTGAAGAAGAAGAAGTGAGTGATGTGAACAGTGCTGTATTTGGATACATTTTACCCTGGTGTGTTTTGTCAAAGATATGCCCTGCTGATCCAAAATGAGAATTAAATCCATTGACAATTTCTTGTTTTCTGAACAGTTATTTGTCATCCAATAAGAATTTTTTGGGAAGAACATTTTGCTTTCCTTTGTTTTCAACTGAGTTAAACAGTTGCCAGAAACTTTTTGTATTTATTTGTGAATTTATGGTGGTTTGGTGGTAGTTAGAAAATGTTGCAATTCTTACTTGGAGAGTCCATCTATTTCTAAGTGTACTATAGTAATCCAGTCGGGGAGGTTATTTGACGGTTTTGCATTATTCCAGGCTATATATTTTTTTAATTAATTCAGAAATGTTCACATCAAACCAAGGTGGACTATCACCCGTTTTAATTTTTTTAAGCGGGTAGAATGACCCCAGTAATGTCCTTAACGACGAACTGGAATCCTGAGCACTATCCATCTACAGACGGTTATTGCACACCACTGCACACACGACCGCAATATCACGAAGACAAAAGTCACCTGACCCTCACTCTGCACGGGTTCCTAGCTGTGTGCGGATGTGGTTGCACTAAAAGAGTGTGACCCTGGGCTGCGGGAGGGCGAGAGAGGCACGCACAAGAGCTGCGGGCCTGATGCCACGTGGGAGCCTGACCTCGCCTGAAAATAAACATTCTCGTGCAAAATAACAAATTTGAACTCACACTCCCATACATAAATTCATGCAAATTCACACATCACTTTAAAAGAGCATAAAATACTCTATATTTAACTGACCTCAGCTGCAATCCTGCTTAAGTGCATGGAGTGATGACATTTTGCACAGGGACTTGATGCAACATGGCCAGCCATGTTGCATTTGGCTTGTTTTCCTGGCAGCTGATTGGCTGGTGTAGTGGGGATCATGACAATCCCTAGCAACCACTGTAGCGCGTCCCTCTTTGCACTACACACTTTTGGAGCATCCATATATATGTAGTGGCTCAGTCGCAGACAGGGTTCTTTAAGGAACCTTTTATTCTACACGTTGGGGAGATAACCGCGCCCCACGTGCTTACACGCTAGTCACACATCCGTCTCTTTCGAGGGCACTACCTAGCTAGAACAGTTGGCAGGTTGCCTAGCTAGCGGCGCCTAAGGTGGTCGAGATGGCGGCGACAAAGGTGACGAACCGCAACACAGAGAGGGGATCCACTTGCAGCAACCGCCCTGAGCCCACGTCCCGGGGCCCCTCTTATCCTCCTGGCGTGGTCTCGCCCCGCCCCCGCCACGCCCTTGCCACGCCCCTTTTCTAGAACCTACTAGCAGGATCTCGGGCTTCCAGATCGACCCCTTCCTGGGCTTCCTCTTCGATCCCCTTCTCCTGACGTGCGTACTGATCCCTGCTGCCAGTACCACTTGCCCGTCAGCAGCCCGCGTTATGACACTACATATATATCTGCCTGAGAGGATTTATGCAGTTTTTTCTATAATCAGGCCCCTAGTCTTTTGGCAGAGAGAGCCCTTTGTGGACAACTTCCGCAATAGACCTCATGACCCATGCAACATTTCACGATGTGGGATTCACCCTTTCTCAGAGCACCAGGCTACAAAGGCCTGAATCTTAATGATGGAAGCACTGAAAAGAGGTCTCGCCTTTCTTGTTGTTCTTGCAGTACTTTAATAAGCAGTGCTGAACACATATAGGCATGAATACATGCTTTATTGTTTCCTTAACATGTGGGAAAATGTGTTTAATCATTTACCAATTTTAAACAGTTGTAATTTGTAAATGTGCTTTGTAAAATTGTTACATTAAAATCAGTTCAGTATGCCATGCCATTTCACCTGTACATAAAACCAACTCTTCTGACCGTTCAAGACACATTAAGTTTCATAAAATATCGAAACAGATACGAGATTTGTCCTTTCTCTGAAGCAGAATTGCCTTGGTAATAACAAACGTTTACCATTCGTGGTCTGCGAATTATTAAATATGTGGTATGTTAAATGTACTGTTACATAGCTCGAGTGAAGTTAGACTTTTCTGTCTGTGGTGGCAAGTTTCCTCAACAAAAAACATTCAAACAACCATTTACGAATCAAATATAATTTTCCTCATCATTGTGATTATGAAAATACATCATATTATTGAGACAATTCGTATGTAATCGTTCCGAGCACGAAATGTGTTTTATAAGGGCAGGTCGGGGTACAGTAGGAAACCTGAAAAGGTGCCGTCAGTGCCAGAATCTGTGTAAACCTTTGTGTGAGAACTTTCTGTTTGTAGCCACACTTCATCACCCTTTGTCAAACGCAAGAATGAAGCGCCTGATAAGCTGTAATAGGCCATGACGGAGGAATATCTAAACTGAACTGCGTGTCCATTGTGTCTCAGGGAAACCCGGGTGCTGCCACTGCTACCGGTGAGATGGTAGTCAAAGTAATAGACGCCCGGGAAATGGCAAGTGAACTTGCCGGTGAACGTGTTGTAATGATTCTGCTCATTGTACGTGACCTTGCCGAATGTTATAGGGGAGCCGCTGCGAGGGTTAGATCCAGACAGACCCACGGTGAATGCGGATCTGGGGATGGCAGCCGGGACTTCTCCTTTGTCTCCCTTTTCACCCTGAAGTCCACGATCCCCTTTCTCTCCAGCGGGGCCCATCGGTCCAGATTTTCCAGGCAACCCTGCGAAGGGATTACAAAAAGTTTCTGCACCTTTAAAAATTGTAACGCAAGTGTCTCCGGTTGCTGTGATTCATCGTGTAACCGTGCTTGTGTCTAGCAGGCGTACGTCAGTGGACAATAACGTAGGCCCATAAATGATTTTGTAAATCCTGCATTAAACACGCTAAGCCCTACACATTGCACCTTGGTTATTTACCTAATTATTTTTGATGGCGATATAAAAAAAAAATTGTAAAAAAATATCCAATAAAATTAACATTCACAAACCCTGGAATCAGTCCCGACATATACATATGAATGATGCTTAGAAAGATAAGTCATCAGAGCTGAGCCTTTGTCAATAGTGTAAGCAATGATCCCGTGTGCTTAACACAATCGACGCTCTGTATTATAGTGCCGCCACAAAAGTTTACACCTGAAGCACTTTGTAACGCCTGGCTATGGTGGGGGTGCGGTGACAGTTCAAGGTTTCTTTTTTTACCGGCCTCTCCTGCGCTCCCTTTGTCCCCTTTCACGCCATCATCTCCCTGGTCTCCTTTATCGCCGTTCTTGCCAGGCTGGCCGTCATGCCCGTCCCGTCCATCTCGCCCAAGAGGACCGATCGGGCCCGGGTTTCCCGGGATCCCGTGATTCCCCGGGATCCCCGGCATGCCTGTGTAGCACCTTCCCCCATCCTGCTCGGCACTACGGTCGCTATCTGCGGCGGCGGCCGTCAGTGGCATCAACAGTTGCTGCTGAAGCAGCAGTAGCAGCAGTAGCAGTGGGTGGCTGGATCTCGGACAGAGGGCCATCCTCTGTTGCAGGTGGAAGTCATGAAGCCCGGGAATAATTTGAGCAAATGGAAAGGGGGGTGAGTGGGGGGGGCATTGGTCAGTATCACTTTTCCAAGAGATTATCCACCTCCCATGTTGTGTACCCCCTACAGTATGTAACCCACAATCCCATTGCTCTACCGATGATAAAATAATGTAATGCCGAAAAACTAAACTGCCGTTGAAATGAGAAAACAATGAAAAAAAAGTCACCGTCTTCTCTTGAAATGAATATACTGTCGTTGAAGTTTTCGTTATTGCTCAAGTGATTCCTCAAAAGCAGTTCCACGTGTGAACATTTAAAAAGGTGAATAAAATTATCTTTACAACATTGCAAATTACCCAAATGAAGATACAAAGTCATGCATGTCTATCACTGTAAGATACATTGTTAAATTTCGGCGAGCACATTATTTGTCAGAAATGCAAGAAAATTCATCTCGCTGCAGTTTAAGCCAGCGGTTGAGCGATTGTGAAAAGCATGAGACTATTTCCCTACTGCTCGTCCCGCGAAGTGAACCCGACTTACCTTCTTAGATCTGCAAACGGAAGCTGATACAATAACCATCAATGTTCAAGGCGAACAGTTAGTCGGTGTTGACGGTGGCTTTGGTTTTATAGCTGGACCAGGAGGCGCGGTGGAGTGGCAGGAAAAGGTGCAGCTCAGGAATGTGGAAGTTTAAGCAAATTTGGGGCGAGGTATCGAAAGTGGTTTCTCAAGGGGAGGGACTGGGATTGGATTCTCGGATGAACCGACTCTGGCACGGCTCGTGTGCTGTGGAGAAGTTACGGTATCATCAGAATATTTATTTATGCTGAAGGAATCCGATGAGCTATGAAGCTCTACTTTACAAATGCCCAGTCGGGGCAGGTAAGAACGTTACAACAATACAAAAAAACACGATAGGAGTGCAAAGTACAAGAAGGTACACAAATCGTCCAAACACAAACAAATAAAATTAAACCATCCCCATCCTACCAGGCAAAGCCTACTGAGGTATTCACTTATTTTTCAGAAGCGACCTGGCCACAAATGATAGCTCAATAAAGTAGCCCATTATTTGGACGTTTATAGCACCAAAATAATAATAATAAACATTGACTGAAGCCGAGGACCATAATGGGTTATTTGTTTATTAAAGTTGTTTTCAATTGAAACAAGCAGCACTTTGCACGATGCTCTCTATATTTGAATATCCCTTTTTACGCATCTTGTAATGTGCATTGTTTGTTATAGTCAATATCATCATTGCCCTGTTCATATATATATGAAGAGGAGACTTGAGATGGTTAATCCTTCTGGGGCCAATCCGTTCAGTGTCCTCCACTCAAAGAGCGGATTTCGTGTCGTACACAGCAGCGCTCCCGTGACCCTTAACCCGTGGTTGCGTGGTGTTTGTGTGTGAGGATGTCCCGAACATCCTCTACATATATAGAGGATTAAATTACCAATATGATTTGTGATTAGTTTATTTTGGGTTAGATCGTGCGGTTACCGTACTGCAGTTATAATTTAAACTTGCCATTGAGCCGAGTTAAAACAAATGGGCATTATACCTAAATGATCTAACCCAAAACTAATAATCATCAACATTGTCATGCGGGGCGGCCTCTGAGCAAAACTTTATCCCCTTTCTCCTTCCTGCTAATCAAGTACCAGCCCGAATTTTAGACTTTCTACACTGCGAGGTTGAGCCATGGGTTGCGCTGGTGACAGCTGACGATCGACCACTCGGGAAGGCAGAAAATTCAGAGAGTGTAGCTTTTATTTTGACCTAAGCTCCAATTCACAAACCAACGAGCAGCAGCACTGGTGGCATTACGCCTCGTGATGTTTGCTCACTCGGCCTACCAAGATGACTCAGGTCAATGGCTTTCCCCACCCGGTGCGAGGGGTCAACATGGACTTTAGGGGCAAGAAGAGAGATGAAGGAAAATGATTGGCTCTGAGACCAATATCTACTTTCATTGAGGGTCGTGGTATCCCTATGATTTAATGGCAACTTCCTCTTCTTTAGCTATCTGTTCATTGGTGGATCTTTCAATTAAACTTCATCGTGTATGGTTTAGAGCTTTGTTTGATTAGTCGCTTTCGTGACTGCAGGAATTACTCTTTGGTTTTTTCGGTAAAGTCACGTAGAAATAATAAAAATAAAATTATATAATAGCATACGACGTTTCGATCGCAACACAAGCAATCATCATCAGGCAGAGGAAACACATAACCGCAGATATATATACAGACCTTAAGTAGGGGGAATTAACACATATATACCAGGGGACACAGAGAGACGGAACATCACACTAAATCAAACAGGGTTTAGCAAAATTTGGAAACTATATAAAGCAACACAAACGGTCGGTTAAAACACAATTAACGCATGGTTTGGTTGAATACGCTGTTTCAAAGATTGTTAAATTGTAAGTTAAGTGTGAAATTTAAGATAGTGATAGAATACTTACCGTAGAAAGACCTTTGGGGGGGAGACACGCGCACAGTTAAGCAGTAAAGTAAATCTGTCCCGAGGCTTTAAGAAGGCGAGCGATGTAGGAGGGCCAAGGTCCACAGACAATGGGACACAAATGTGCATGATGTAAGTTATCAGGCACACAGTTGTCAGGCACCCAATGCACAGCAGCGCACACCTAGAGGTCCCCAGGCACACAACCATAGGCAGAGGCAACACAGCGACACAAATCCAAAATGCGCAACTTTAAATAAATATAGACAACACGTTCTACTTAATTAAATAGACTTGTTAATAAATGTTTTCTCCTACAACATCAGAGTGCAGCGCCACATTAAATACGCGCTACAATGACAATAGTTTAAAGCGATTTGAAGCATGTTTTTTTTTGGGGGGGGGGGGGTGGGAGCAGAGCTTTGTGACGTCATATTTAAGGGGGGCTCTGACTTTTTGTGACGTCGTGTGACGACGGGGGGGGGGTCAAAAGTCGTCCAAAATCGCGTGACGTCATTTATGGACGGCCCCCATACTGGGGCACCGAGTACACAAAGGCCACCGTTGATGCCCGTAGCATTGGTGCTGATGCTGCCCAGCCGGTGCTTGCCAGTTTGTGGACCAGGGTGACCCTCGTTTTGATCTTGGCGGCTACCTTTTTCAGGCGTTCGTGGGGAGAGGTAAGAGAGTGTGGGGAGGTGAAGTGTGGTTAGATGAAACGGGAGAAGTAGGAGAGTAATGGAGAATAGAGCGATGAGGAGTAGGAGAACACTGGGAGTAGAATGAGATGAGTGGGGATGGGTAGGAGACAAATGGTGAGTAGAGTGAGATTAGCGGGGAGAGGTAAGAGAGGCGTGGAGGGGGTCGAGTGAGGTGAGAGGGGAGGGGTTGGAATGTAGAGGGGACTCGAGTGAGGTGAGAGGGGTAGGAGAGTGATGGAGAGTGGTGAGATGAGAGGGGTAGGAGAGTGATGGAGAGGAGTGAGGTGTGAGGGGTAGGAGAGTGATGGAGAGTGGTGAGGTGAGAGGGGTAGGAGAGTGATGGAGAGGAGTGAGGTGTGAGGGGTAGGAGAGTGATGGAGAGTGGTGAGATGAGAGGGGTAGGAGAGTGATGAAGAGTGGTGAGGTGAGAGGGGTAGGAGAGTGATGGAGAGTGGTGAGATGAGAGGGGTAGGAGAGTGATGGAGGGGAGTGAGGTGAGAGGGGTAGGAGAGTGATGGAGGGGAGTGAGGTGAGAGGGATAGGAGAGTGATGGAGAGGAGTGAGGTGAGAGGGGTAGGAGAGTGATTGAGAGTGGTGAGATGAGAGGGGTAGGAGAGTGATGGAGGGGAGCAGTGGCGGGTCGTGATATTTCCATGAGGGGGAGCTGTGGTGAGTGCCTTCTGAAAAGAACTTGTTCTCATTAAGAAAAATCTCGTCATGTTATTGACCATCCCGTGAAAGTGATAGAACTGTTTATCTACCAACGGTGAGTTATTCATAAACAATACGAAACATAACAACAAAGCACTCAAATACTGTCCTCATGACCCTCAAGTCCACAGTACACACTTTGACACTTCCAAAATCCTAGAGCGTTGTTGGCTCTGTGACCTGCTACATATTTACACAGCGCCACTTCGCGCTGTGACACCGCCGTCTCATTACAGCCACGGGCGCCGTTTTCGCCGCCCTGAATGTGTCTCAAGCGGCGTGGCTACAACGCTGGAAGCTGCTCAACGCAGTCAGTGAAGGGAAATCTCTCACTGGGAATCTCTCACTGGGAATCTCTCACTGGGAATCTCTCACTGGGAATCTCTCACTGGGAATCTCTCACTGGAAATCTCTCACTGGGAATCTCTTACTGGGATCTCTCACTGGGAATCTCACTGGAAATCTCTCACTGGGAATCTGTCACTGGAAATCTCTCACTGGGAATCTCTCACTGGAAATCTCTCACTGGAAATCTCTCACTAGAAATCTCTCACTGGAAATCTCTCACTGGATATCTCTCACTGGGAATCTCTCACTGGAAATCTCTCACTGGGAATCTCTCACTGGAAATCTCTCACTGGGAATCTCTCACTGGAAATCTCTCACTGGAAATCTCTCACTGGGAATCTCTCACTGGGAATCTCTCACTGGAAATCTCTCACTGGAAATCTCTCACTGGGAATCTCTCACTGGGAATCTCTCACTGGGAATCTCTCACTGGGAATCTCTCACTGGGAACCCTTCACAGCCGCACCGAGACCTTCCCTAGGCACGTAGCAGACTGTGGCGTTGCAGCGGTTTCTGATATGAACAACTTAAAATGTTGTCTTTATTAGGCAATTCACGTTGAAATAATCATTATTGTTTTCATTGTTTAAACACAAAGCAATTTATATAAAAGTATTTTTTAATGATAAAAATAACTTCTCATCTCCAGCTGCTTGGTGGGGCGGCACCCCATCGCCCCCTAGTGGGTGAACTGCGCCTGGAGAGGAGCAGAGTGAGGAGTGGAGAGGGGAGTGAGGTGAGAGGGGAGTGAGGAGGTGAGGGGGGAGTGAGGTGAGAGTGAGGAGGGGAGTGAGGTGAGAGGGGAGTGAGGTGAGAGGGGAGTGAGGTAAGAGGGGAGTGAGGTGGGAGTGTGGAGGGGAGTGAGGTGAGAGGGGAGTGAGGTGAGAGGGGAGTGAGGTGAGTGAGGTGAGAGGGGAGTGAGGTGAGAGAGGGGAGTGAGGTGAGAGGGGAGTGAGGGGAGTGAGGTGAGAGGGGAGTGAGGTGAGAGTGTGGAGGGGAGTGAGGTGAGAGGGGAGTGAGGTGAGAGGGGAGTGAGGTGAGAGGGGAGTGAGGTGAGAGAGGGGAGTGAGGTGAGAGGGGAGTGAGGTGAGAGGGGAGTGAGGGGAGTGAGGTGAGAGGGGAGTGAGGGG